AGTTACTGGTGATTATTTTTTCTATATGAAAATACTTCGTGGTGAAAGAAATCGTCGATTAAATTGAACATTAAATGTTGTTGATTTCTAGTTTTCTTAATTGTTAATCTGTAGCATGTATTATTTCTTTCACATTGTAATAAACTCGATAATGTATTATGTTTTGTGTTGATTTTGGCAATATATCAATCAATACATATATATATGTATATAACAGTCTGATTTTATATGTGTGTTCTTTCTACATCAATATATAAAGAAAAAAAAATGAGAGAAATGAGAGAAAAAAATGAACGGAAAGAACGCAAAATAAATGATAGAATAGAATAAAAAGCGCTAGTTTCCACGCAAAAACCGTTTTTCGTATCTTTCCCGAAAACTAAGAGTTGTCCAAGAAAACGGGTAGCATATTCGGAATCCTCGTGAAATTGCGAATCAGAATATGTATACTGTTTCTCTTATTTTCACCCCGCTGGAAAATCGAACGTTTTGCTATGAAACTCGATGTGAGATAAACGTTCGATTTTACTGCAATTCCATATTCATTGTGTGTCATTGAGTCTTGTTTGTTCTCTTCACCTCGATTCTTACAACCATTTTTAACGGTTCTTTGGGTTTGTTTGTGTCCGTAACGATGCGACTGGCAGTGTATGTGGTGGAAATATTATTGTTTTGTCGATTGAACAAAATTGTGTTGGTTACAAATATCATTCTACTATAGGTACGAACTTAATCTTAACTGCATGGGTTACTGAATTAATGACTGGTGCAACTGTTAATGAGGCAACTGTTTCAGTATTCGATAAAAAGCAAGAAACAAATCAACAAGGACTATGCACAATGCAAAATTTCAAGATAGAGAACAATGAACAAGACATATTAGTTGTAGAAAAGGATGAAGATCTATGTATGTTAGTGATACATACATCTTATCGTAAAGTTCATGGTAAATATACATCACATCGTAGAGTTAATGATAAATATACATCAGATCATGTATGGCATGTATTTAATGATCGAGGTTTATATAAACCAAATGAAGAGGTACATGTAAAAGGTTATGTTCGATGATAATGCAGCTGTGGACAACGCAGAAGTTTGTCTAATTGTTGTTGATGAAGCGATTTTATCATTAACTGCAGATACACTATTGAGCCCATTAGATATATTTTATCCTAATCGATCAACAAATATGGCTGAATATCATAGTAGAAATTCGTGTTTACTATTTTAAGGTTGAAGATGTAGAAGAATTTAAGAAAAATATGCAACAAAGAGACGATTTTTATGAAGACCGAGGTGGAGGTGGAGGTGGTGGTGGTCGTGTCGGTTGTTATGGTGAGAAACCAAAAATGGCTGTTAGATCGAACTTCAGTCCATTAGCCTGTTGGATACCATGAGCAATCACGAATTCATCTGGACATGTCACAATTCAAGGTAAATTACTTGATAATCTAACACGCTATCGTGTATGGGCATTAGCAGTTAATGATAAACAATGTGGTTTAGGTGAAACATCATTTACTGTACAATTACCAATCATGGTTCGACCATTACCGCCAAGATTTCTCAATTATGGTGATATTGCTCATTTCTCAGTTATTTTACAAAATCAAACAGATCTATCATTACCATTACATGTTGGTTTAAGAGCAAGTAATGCTAAATTATTAGCATTAGAAACAAATCAACAAGGAATTGGTTATTCAATTGTGTTAAAAGCAAGTAAACGAGTTGTAGTTACATTTCCAGTTTCAACAATTCATTCTGGTGCAGCTCGATTTCGATTTTTAGCTAGCGTTGTAAATAATAAAACATATGCATCATGTGGTGATGCAATCGAATTAAGTTTACCTATTTTTCCACTAGCAACATCTGAAACATTTGCAACATATGGTGATGTGGATGAAAAAAAAGTGATTTTACAACCAATAAAGACACCAAAAGATGTTATTGCACAATTTGGCGAATTGTCAATATCGACAAGTTCAACAGCATTAGCATCATTAACAGATGCAATTATTTCATTATATACATATTTATATGAATGTATAGAACAAATAAGCTCAAGATTATTAGGTATACAAGCATTATGGGATGTTTTACAAGCATTTCATTGTAAGGATCTACCTGAAGTTTCAGCATTGAAAACTAAATTAGAATCAGATATGAATGTACTAAAAAGCCGTCAGTATCCAAATGGTGGATTTGGTTATTGGACAAGTCGAACTGATTACTATGCTGATCCATATATGAGTGTACATGTTGTACATTGTTTAGCTGCTGTTATAGATAAAGAGGTAGGAGTTTTATTGTATAAAAGCAAATCAGTGCGATGGACATAGCTGTAGAGTTTCTATTTCCTTCTAAGATTGGGAGGATCCATTATTCATAAAAATATGAAACCTTCAAAATACTGAAAATAGATCTACATGTGGAAAAACAAGCTTTAAGTTAGTATGTGGATTCTTATTCCAAGTTTAAGGAGTTTTTCTCTGCTTAAAGCTCTAATACGGTTTCCAGTTAAAATTATGATATAAAACCTGTTTTTGTCATTTTTTAATTTGTAAAAAGTTGCTCCAAATCGTATTCTTTTAAAGGTATTGGTTATTAATAGGAATATGCTAAGTAATGCGTTAAAATATGTTGAAAATATTGAATCTGAAATTGATCAACTACCATATAGTAAATATTAGTCCGAAAAAGTTCGATATAGTTTAATGAGTTATGCATTATATGTTAGAGCAAAACACAATAGAGACGTGGCTCGTGAAGCTTCACGACTGTTTAAACGGAGTGGATTTGATAAACTTAGTTTAGAAGCATTAGGATGGTTATTAGTAGCATTATCCACTGGTGAAAATGAAAATATCAAGCAAACAGTTAAAATAATATACAACCATCTAAAAGGCAAAGTAAGTGAAACAAGTGAAACAGCTAATTTTATTACGTCATATGGTGATGATGCTCAATCAGTCATGTTACATTCAAATCAATGAACAAATGCTATATTATTAGAATCATTATTATATATTGATCCAAAGTCAAGTTTATGCACAAAATTATGCAAAGATTTACAAGCGCATAAAGTGAAAGATGCATGGAAATCAACACAAGAAAATTGTTTTGTTTTAATTGCATTAAATAAATATTTTCGCATGAAGGAAAAGGATATACCAGAATTTGCGGCAAATATCTGGCTTGATACTGATTACTGTGGTCAGCATCAATATAAAGGTATAAGGTCATGTCAAAGGATAATTACGAGTTATTACTAGCAGACTAAATGTGATATCCATACAACAGTATATTTATTAGCATAATTTGGTCCAAAGTGTTCTATAGGTTTCTGTAAGGGTTAGGTATCCACGTAAATTGTCTAGTTACCCTATATAATCTTTATAAGAGATAAATTGCCAGTTTATTGCGCGATCCTATCTGAGATAGGATCGTGCTGTTATAATGTACCCGCTCATTCAGCAGGAATTGACTCTACTCTAGAATCACAGATTTTATGGATAATTTTATAATCTTATTTTCATAGCCAAATTATTGCTATTTATTTCGGAACATCTACCTATTAAATTTAAACTTCCACAAAGCAAAACCTCGGTAAGTGTCAACCTGGATTTTTTTTCACATGCCAACGTACGGGAGAAACAATCTGCCTTAAACTATATCACAATTCCATAATCATTGACACTAACCAAATTTCAATTTATTTGTCTACCTGTTCATTTACCCAGTGAACCTTGTAAGGGAAAGTCTAAAACAATACATAATGGTTGATCAGTGCAATACAAGTTTTGAGAAACTCAGTCAGTTATTCCCAGTCATTAAGTCGCGGTCGATCCTAAGCTATTTATATCCATATACTACGACTTTGGAGTCTAATTGAAATATTATTAGATTAGAAATTTTAGAATTCAGTTTTGCCTACTGAATGAGCCTGATTTCTTTTCCCACTAAAATGTTTTACTCTATTCCTCGAGTATTCCGCTATTATTCCTCTATTTCGCTCTTCCTCTGTTATAAAGTATTTCATTGTATAATAGTTTCGCACTCTATATTAACTCTAAACATGAAACAGATCGCCTTCTGTTTGATCTTGTTTCGTATTCTTTCTGATTTATTTTTCTTCCGTATATTCTACTCATATTGAACTAGATCCGAAATAATAACATGATACTGAAATTTCATAATTAAATGAAGAAGATAGAAACGTCAAAATAGAACTCAATCCAATATCTTTCATTTCTAAGGTAAAAATAGAAGAAATAACTAAGGAACCTCTCAAAATATATTCCACTCGATAATAGTTTGGCACTCTACATTAAATGTGAACATGAAAGAGATTGCTTTCTATTTGATCGTGTTTCGTTTTTGTTCTCATTTATTCTTCTATTTAAAGAATAAAATAAGAAATCGAACAAATTTTAAATTGAATGGTCATCTTTTATATGG